GGCAGTAGACCAGCAGGCAGGCCATGGATCCTGGGCTGCAGGTACAGTATATGCGCGGGGGCTGCAGGAGGCACCAGGCCACATTGAGGCACGGCGTGTGCGGTACCAGGCTGTCAGCCGGGAGTGGCATGAATTCCTGGGGTTTAACCCAGGCCCAGGGGTGCGAAAGCGGGCACGGAACATGGAAAAGAGCGTTAGCAGAAAAGCTCAAAAACAGCAGCCATCATATGTAACAGTAGAAATAGATGACAACATAGAGCTATAAATGATAAAAGATATATATTTTTCTCATGCAATTCATTATGACCAGATTTCCAACTTCAGCAGCTAGCTGTCATCTTTATAAATTTCAATACAAATCAGCCTTTCACCTCCGTTATAAAATGTATAATATTATATTTTCATAGACAACTCATCACAACCAGACCTTAAACTTCAGGAGCCAGTTATATTATATATACAGAGTATGATATTTAATTTCAAGACATAATTTCATCAGAAAATCATATTATTACAACATTAAGGTAGATAAGTTGTTTTGCAGAGTTATCAATATTAAATATATATATTTCGCCCCAGGGCAACTACCATCATCAAAACGGTCACAGATCAGCGAAATAACAATCAGACAGAAATTAACATCATACATTTAAGTATTGATCTGCAATTGCTTAGAAGCATTACAAAACTTAAATTTAGAGCAAATTAACATTGTCGAGTGAAGTGTGTTTATACTTCATTTTCAGAGAATATATATATATATATATATATATCAACTCAAGAATACACTGACTTCATTAACATGGAACATCAATTATTCATTCAGTGTGAATCATACCCCATCATCATATGCCGTCAATGCAAGTATGCAGTATGGCCAACAGAAATTGAACGGCATTTGAAGGGTTCAACTCATCAGTTAAAGTATACAGCCACACAGAGTATCAAGCAGATAATTCAACAGTGGGATCATATCGCGCATGATCTCAGCCAGTTGATATTATCCACAGAATTGAACAAACCAATACATGAGCCGCTCATCCACAATGGCTACATGTGTTGGCGGCAATCTGAATGTCAGTATGTTGGAGGAACTATACGGAGCATGTACAAGCACTGACAGACCCAACACAGCTGGACTCCATGTCTCAGTCAGGGTTGGATGTCATCACAAAACCATATGCAGGTACAGAATGAGATCAACAAGTAAATAAAAATAGCAAAATATATAAAAAAACCTGAAAGGGGTTCATTCTATCCAACAGGTGGGGGTGGAATGGACGTCCATTCCATTCAGGGTTAGAAAACCGACCAATCAGAGCAGGGCAGATTGGACGTACATTCCATTTGGTTTCAGACGTTGAACGTCCAATCAACCACGGAGTCAATTGACTTCAAACTTTGCATGTAGGCCGTAGTGGATATGAAATACAACATATCCAAATCAAAAGCGATAATTCCGCCGGGAAGGGGTTACATTGTGGTGTCAAAGTCAATGAGTTGAGGTGCGATGTTTGATGGGGTAAGCCATCAACCCAACCAGACCCAACTAAATATCTATATTTTCACCCAGGCAACGGAGCGGTTAGGGTTACTAGATCAACAAAGTAAATAAAAATAGCAAAATATATAAAAAAACTGAAAGGCTTTATTCTGGAGTGATTTTAAACAGAGAAAAACAAACATTAGTCGAACACGCTGGACCCAAACCCGTTGGACGTCAAACCCGTCCAAGGAGCCCATTCACCCATTGGACCCGAACCCGTTGGATGAACCCATCAACCTGTTGGAAGTCGAGCACGCTGGACGATTATATCAGAAGGTAGAGGGGGGGGTTCAAAAATATTGGAGTTTTAAAGAGCATTATCCCATACAATAATGGGCCAGGGTTAGGGTTACAAAGAGTGAGGGTAGAGGCTGGGGGGGAGGATGAGGTGGTCAGAGTCAGGGCACAAACACGCTGCTTTGGAAGAGAAATCCGTTGATGATTTAGATTAGAATTTGATCATTCCCTTGATAGATTATCATGAATCCTAGATGTGAATTCAAAGAGTTCCTGGTAAAGCTTCTCATGAAAGCTTATATGAGAAGAAAGATCCTTCACTGAAATCCTCTGCTGCTTCATATATAGATATTGAAGCCGGTATGCATTAATAGCTGCGGAATCAATAAGTCAGTAGAGAATAGAAAGCCAGGTGTGATAGATGACTCTATGACTAGTATATGCTGCTCAGTATTGATTGCCTAGATGTACCCCATTCATATGATGATTATAATCACCTATAATCAATGGGATTTTCAGCTTTCTTTTGTGATTGACCTTTAAAGACTTTTCTAACAATATTGACATTGATTGAGAGTTCCCCTGAGCATTTACAAGTACATTCAATAACTGCGTCCAATGAATGAATCGTAGTTAGTGCCAATACCATATTATTATCTTGCCAGGCAAGACAGAGAACATTCTCTTTTTCAATGACATGCAGAGTATTTCAGAGTATGGAATTTGAATGCTCTCAAAGCTCATCTAGTACTGCTGGAACCTGGTTTGAATGAGTGGTTCCACATGCTCCATACCCCTGTTGACGTAGTTCTTTGAATAAAGGAACTGATGTAAAGTAGTTATCCATTTCAATTGAATAGGATGTGACCAGCTGTGAGATAGAGATTTCATTAGATGTGGCATTCGGTGTAGCATTCGGGGGGGTGATATTCGGGTTGATATTAGGGCCAATATTATGGGTGATATTAGAGTCGATATTAGGGGTGGCATTCGGCATGGTATTCGGTGTATTCGGTGTGGATACCATAGAAAGCCGCTTCACCAGATTCACCACCATAGATCTGGTTATGGTTAACATAGAGAATTGAAACATAGACATTATACTTCTGCCAGCAGCTAGATCAGGAAAAAGATCATAAATAGTCATGTTCTGCTAGGCCAAATATCTTATATCTTCAAGGAATTGGTTTATTAGACATCTTGTATGTAATGTTGACTCCATCCAAAATATTTAACCATGATCTCATCAATGGAAATCTTAGAGTCAGGGGTATAGTATTTTCAGCATGCCATATGAAACTTAGTAGCTAATGACTCTATCTTATACCATCAATTCTTATTTTTGACCTCCGGGCGGCGGGCCTCATGAAGGTTAGATATATGGATATATCATTTAATCTGTTCAAAACGCATATGGGTCATATAGAATTGAATGGAATGAATAGAGTCTTGTTTCAGCTCATTCTGCCAGTATAGATCAATTCAATGGAATTTATGAACTTTCATATAAAGAAGAATGCTTATAAAGACCTTTATCTCTGCTGAATTGATATTTTTCCATGAACATTGCTGAATAGAAAGCTTTGAGAATATAGATATTTCAGAAATCTCTATATCTATATCTTGAGCTTTCTCATTCTTTTTCATTTCTGAAAGCTCTGAAGCTTCATCATCAGTATCTCTAGTATCTCTCTTTAATTTTGCATAGAGATTAGTAGAATTACTGATATTTTAAAAGCATTTCTCAGAGAAGAATAAGATAAACAGAATGTATGAACTGCTGATATTGATATTTGCAGAAATATTGAAAATTGAATCTCATGAGATAGGCAATATTGAGTGGAATTTCACCGATTCTAGAGGTGGAAGTTCTGCAATAACCTCCTCAACAGACTGTTTTCATTTTCTTGATGTTTTTGTATGAACTAGAGAATGAATTAGTTAGCTAGGTCATTTGAATTGATTAATATAAGGAACTCACCATTGGATTTGGTAGGTTTCTCAGTGGATTCCACATTCGCAGGTTTGGGGGGTTCCATATTCGCGGGTAGGGGGATAGGTGGGAGAAGATATGAGAATCGGGCAGGCAGGCAGACAGGCAGGGCTTCAAACATGTTGAATTCCATACACATTCTTAAGATCTACATGAGATCTTCAATCAGTGGATCTAAATGACCAATTATTATTCATATAAAATCATATAGGATTCTATTGGTTATGCCCAGGGCGCCGGTGCAGAATTCCATACACTAATTGAAACCACGCTAATTTTGCACCAACCTACGGACGAGAAATGTGATTTTTGTCGAGCTTTTAACATTTTTTTGTTGTTTTTCTAACATTACACAAATATTAACAAGTATTTCTCTTTATTCAGAGTCAGATAACAAACTGAATCTATTATTCACAACTTCAACTGCTATCATATTCTGCATATGTGTATCCCTTATTTTGTTTGAACAGAGGTTCTTGGTGACTTCTGTGATCTAATTTTTTGCCTCGCAGAAGATTCAGAGATAGCAGATTCAGAGAGTTGAGAATTCCTTCTTTTTTATTTATTGCTATCATTTACATCAGTAGAGACTGAGTTATTTGTCTGTACTGATGGCTTTCCTGATTTGGGAGCAAATATACATTCTTTTGAATTTGCAAAGTGAGGCTCTTTACAATTGGCAACCCATTGGAAGTTGAGACGTTGAAACCATTGGAAGTCGAACCCGCTGAACGAACCCGTTAACCCGTTGGACCCAAACCAGTGGGATGACACCATTTAAAAGTCAAACCCGCTGGACATGCCCGTTGAAGGTTATAGGGTTAGGGTTAAACTATCCAAGTTATACATAGTGCGTGGTCCGACGCGCCCCCGTCCGATTTTCTCCGTCCCTGATTGGCCGCCCGTGCGTGCTCCCGCTCCCGCCGCCGCGTGCCCGCAGTGGCCCGGTCGCGGTCGAGCTCCCTCTTCCCTTCCCTTCTGCGGCAGCCAGCCACCCCATTACTTCAAACTTTGCATGTAGGCCGTAGTGGATATGGAATACAACATATCCAAATCAAAAGCGATAATTCCGCCGGGAAGGGGTTAAATTGTGGTGTCAAAGTCAATGAGTTGAGGTGCGATGTTTGATGGGGTAAGCCACCAACCCAACCAGACCCAACTATATATATATATTTTCACCCAGGCAACGGAGCGGGTGCAAAGCGGTGCAGGATCAACAAAGTAAATAAAAATAGCAAAACATATAAGAAAACTGAAAGGCTTCATTCTGGAGTGATTTTAAACACAGAAAAACAAACATTCACACCAGATCAGATCTGTCAAGTTTCACACAAAGACACTGAATGAAGGAAATATATATATATTCAATGCACAAGACAGACCCAGCATCGACATGGAACATCAATTATTTATCCACTGTGAATCATACCTCATTATCATATGCCGCCGGTGCAAGCACGCTGTGTGGCCAACAGAGATTGAACGGCATCTGAAAGGCAAGGCCCATCAGCTAAAGCATGCGGTGGTTCAGCAGATAAAGGAGAACATTGAACAGTGGGACAATGTGGCTCGAGATACTACACAGTTAACACTGCCCACAATACTGAATGAACCAATCCCGGAACTACCCATTCATGATGGCTACAGGTGCCAGCGGGATCCCCAGTGCCAGTATGTGGCAGGGAACATGAACACCATGCGCAAGCACTGGCAGAACAAGCACAGCTGGTCGCCATATCCCAGCCGTGGCCGTACAGCGCCACAAAAGCGTACGGCAGCACAGGATGAGGTGGACAGATCATGCCAGAAGGTGCAGTTCCAGCAGGTATTTGCATCGCGCAAGGGCTCCCACTACATACAGATCCAGACTAAGGAGACTACTGAGCACACCGGCACGCCAGACCAGAACAGAGCCAGCCATGTCATTGATGAGCTGGAGCGGTTTTACCGGGAACAGCAACGGCAGACCAGCAATGTCATCCATGCCGGGGAGCACGATGAAGCCAACCCATGGCTGCGGCGGACCAGATGGCCGGTGTACTTGACCAACATCGCACCCAATGATCTGGTCAACTGCGTCCAGCGGCCCGAGGATGACACCACGTGCCCAGATGAACTGGCCGCGAGGGCCATCTGGGAGGCCATGGGTCAGGTTGCCCGTACCAGCCAGCGAGTCATCACACGGCTGGGCCACTTCGTCCGCATCGAGGCCATCCGCACAGAGCGACACCAGACCCGGCACACCCCGTTGCAGGCATACATGGACGAGGAGAGGAGAGCATCGCCGAGCACGTGAGGCCATGGCAGCAGATGTTGATGTTTTTCGCCCGAACGCAGGTCGAGCATGAATGGACGAGCCCACAGTACCGGTTTACACCACGGCAGCGCAAGACATGGAGGGTATTATGGCAGGTAGCCACCACAGAGGGAGCCGACCAGCGACACCCCATCAGCCCAGACCCCATGGATGAGCAGATGACTGAGGAAGAAGAAGAGGAGGAGGAGAAGGGACAGAGAGATACGCAGTCAGAAGAAGAAGATAAGTTCAAATCAACCAAGATCCAGATGGCATGTTTGGATTTTTGCATTGAGCTGCTGAACCAGCGGGTTCAGGTGGAGGATTATGAGTGCGCACTGGTAGACGCGTTGGCGGTGCTGGGACGGGGGGAGTATGGATGGCGCGACGCGGAGAGCTACCCACCAATATTGTCACGGATCATCAAGGTGGCACGGTTCATGGTGGTGCACAAGGCGCTGCGACTGGACGCCAATGCATCCGACATTCTGGCCAGGAACCAAGCAAGCCAGATGGTGGGAGAGTGGGCCGTGGTGAGCCCCATGAAGGAGGCGGATTACACGTTCACAGGCAATCAGAATGAAGGGTAATCAGTGAAGACATCAGAGGCATCCCATCAACAATCAGACAGACATTCCACAAACAGTATGTCCATCAAGGCTGGTTCATCATCACACATCAGCAGCGAGGGCAGAGGGCATTGATGGATGAGGAGGTTTTAGTGGAAGAGGCGCAGAGGTGGAAGGATCAGTGTTTGATATGTGCAAATTGCAAGCGGGAGGGAGTTTGACCATGAGCTGTACCAGTGTCCCCACGAGGAGAGCCAGGAGGCAAAGAGATGGATGATGACAGTGCGGAGCAAGATCAAATACACACAGTATTCCGGGTGCTTCCGATGCGGGATGCCGCAGTCCATATGCAACAGCTGGAAGACACAGAGGCAGTGTCCGTACAGGGGATTTTTGATCCCGACAGTGGCAATGATGATGTATGGGTGTCACAGCAGCTGAGGGAGTTCAATGTGAATGCAGATGATCAGGAGGCGGTGATTGAATTTTTGAGACAGAAGGTTGAGGGGCAGGGCATCGAGCACAACCAGCTGATGGAGATGTTTTGTTGGCTGCGAGGGATATATCAGGAGGCAGAGAGGGGGAAGATCGAGTCAGAGGGTACAGGGGTCAAGTGATATGACGGGTGAGAGGCACCACAGGGGGATGAAAGACGTATATATATATAAAGGCAGGTGAAGCCAGAGACAGAGGGTAAAGGGATATAACATCGAGAGAAAGTAGATCAGGTTCAAAGGATCAGTTTCAAACAGTATCATCCCATATGATAATGGGTCAGGGTCAGGGTTACAAAGAGTGAGGGTAGAGGCTGGGGGGGAGGATGAGGTGGTCAGAGTCAGGGTTAGGGTTGAAAAAGAGTGAGGCTAGAGACAGGGGTGGGCAGTGAGGTCAGGATAGGCGGTTAAATTAGACGCAAACCCGTTAACCCTATCCAACAGGTGGGGGTGGAATGGACGTCCATTCCATTCAGGGTTAGAAAACCGACCAATCAGAGCAGGGCAGATTGGACGTACATTCCATTTGGTTTCAGACGTTGAACGTCCAATCAACCACGGAGTCAATTGACTTCAAACTTTGCATGTAGGCCGTAGTGGATATGAAATACAACATATCCAAATCAAAAGCGATAATTCCGCCGGGAAGGGGTTACATTGTGGTGTCAAAGTCAATGAGTTGAGGTGCGATGTTTGATGGGGTAAGCCATCAACCCAACCAGACCCAACTAAATATCTATATTTTCACCCCAGGCAACGGAGCGGTGCAAAGCGGTGCAAGATCAACAAAGTAAATTAAAATAGCAAAATATATAAAAAAAATGAAAGGCTTCATTCTGGAGTGATTTTAAGCACAGAAAAACAAACATTAGTCGAACACGCTGGACCCAAAGCCGTTGGACGTCAAACCCGTCCAAGGAGCCCATTCACCCATTGGACCCGAACCCGTTGGATGAACCCATCAACCTGTTGGAAGTCGAGCACGCTGGACGATTATATCAGAAGGTAGAGGGGGGGGTTCAAAAATATTGGAGTTTTAAAGAGCATTATCCCATACAATAATGGGCCAGGGTTAGGGTTACAAAGAGTGAGGGTAGAGGCTGGGGGGGAGGATGAGGTGGTCAGAGTCAGGGTTAGAGTGAGGGGTGTTCAGGGGTCGAACCGGTTGAACGAACCCGTCAACCCGTTGGACCCAAACCAGTGGGATGAAACCATTTAAAAGTCAAACCCGCTGGACATGCCCGTTGAAGGTTATAGGGTTAGGGTTAAACTATCCAAGTTCTACATAGTGCGTGGTCCGACGCGCCCCCGTCCGATTTTCTCCGTCCCTGATTGGCCGCCCGTGCGTGCTCCCGCTCCCGCCTCCGCGTGCCCGCAGTGGGGCCCGGTCACAGTCGAGCTCCCTCTTCCTCTTCCCTTCTCATATCTCATGGCACAGATGCTGGTGGTACAGCAGGCAGTTCAGATGGCCGAGGATGGGCAGGTGGAGCACCCTGCAGATGCGCTGGATGCCATGCGTGAACGCTTCCTCCTCCCAGGAGTGGCTGCCCCCTTTGGCTGGGTGACCCGGCTGCGGACATTCGGCAAGCGAGTGCAGAACACCACCACGAGTCTAGGGTATGTCTACTGGAGCGATGACCAGCAGACTCTAAGCTACAGAGAGCTGCATCTAAGCATAGCAGGGCTCCGGCGCTTCGTGCGCACGCAGGTGGAGCTGACACAGCACAAGCTTGAGCAGCTCTTTCTTGTTCATGAAGAGGAAGCACGGGAGGTGGTAGTGCCACGCCTGGTGCTGGCCCAGCTGGCGGACAGCCCTACAAACAATCAGCGCGGCTGGAACTTCCTTCGAGCACCGCAGAACTGCAAGGCCCTTCCAACCACAGGGGAGCGATGGCTGCTGGACCGAGTCCTCACAACAGACAGGCTCCGGGCAGAGTGGGTAGCTGTACGGCCATCTGATCATCAGGTGGTCTGGGACACAGCAGTGGTAGATGACTATCTGCAGCAGGTGGATGGATTTCTTGAGCAGCTGCTTCTTGTGGTTCATCTCACTGGGGGCCAGCCTGCGCGGGCCACAGAGCTGCTCAGCATACGGCACAGTAACACGGTCTGCGGCCGCCACCGCAGCATTTTTATTGAACATGGGCTGGTGAGCATGGTGACAACCTATCACAAAGGCTACAGCATGACCAACTCCACAAAGATCATCCACCGCTATCTGCCAGCAGAGGTCAGTGAGCTGGTGGTGTACTACCTCTGGCTGGTTCTACCTTTCGCGCGGGCGGTCCAGCGGCTTGCATATGGAGACAGTGATAGCCAAGGGGGGCTGCGGTCACCATTTCTCTGGCCGCGGGGGCATGGACCGTGGGACAGCAGCCGGCTGCGGGTGGTGCTTCAGCGCGAGGCAAAGACACACCTCCAGACCAAGCTCAATGTAATCACTTGGCGGCATGCCGCCATTGCCATCTCGCGTATGCACCTGTCCTGTGGAGGGTTCAAGCGGGAATATGGGGCAGATGATTCGGCAGTAGACCAGCAGGCAGGCCATGGATCCTGGGCTGCAGGTACAGTATATGCGCGGGGGCTGCAGGAGGCACCGGGCCACATTGAGGCACGGCGTGTGCGGTACCAGGCTGTCAGCCGGGAGTGGCATGAATTCCTGGGGTTTAACCCAGGCCCAGGGGTGCGAAAGCGGGCACGGAACATGGAAAACAGCGTTAGCAGAAAGGCTCAAAAACAGCAGCCATCATATGTAACAGTAGAAATAGATGACAACATAGAGCTATAAATGATAAAAGATATATATTTTTCTCATGCAATTCATTATGACCAGATTTCCAACTTCAGCAGCTAGCTGTCATCTTTATAAATTTCAATACAAATCAGCCTTTCACCTCCGTTATAAAATGTATAATATTATATTTTCATAGACAACTCATCACAACCAGACCTTAAACTTCAGTAGCCAGTTATATTATATATACAGAGTATGATATTTAATTTCAAGACATAATTTCATCAGAAAATCATATTATTACAACATTAAAGTAGATAAGTTGTTTTGCAGAGTTATCAATATTAAATATATATATTTCCCCCCTGGGCAACTACCATCATCAAAACGGTCACAGATCAGCGAAATAACAATCAGACAGAAATTAACATCAGACATTTAAGTATTGATCTGCAATTGCTTAGAAGCATTACAAAACTTAAATTTAGAGCAAATTATCATTGCCGAGTGAAGTGTGTTTATACTTCATTTTCAAAGAATATATATATATATATATATATATATCAACTCAAGAATACACTGACTTCATTAACATGGAACATCAATTTTTCATTCAGTGTGAATCATACCCCATCATCATATGCCGTCAATGCAAGTATGCAGTATGGCCAACAGAAATTGAACGGCATTTGAAGGGTTCAACTCATCAGTTAAAGTATACAGCCACACAGAGTATCAAGCAGATAATTCAACGGTGGGATCATATCGCGCATGATCTCAGGCAGTTGATATTATCCACAGAATTGAACAAACCAATACATGAGCCGCTCATCCACAATGGCTACATGTGTTGGCGGCAATCTGAATGTCAGTATGTTGGAGGAACTATACGGACCATGTGAAAGCACTGACAGACCCAACACAGCTGGACTCCATGTCTCAGTCAGGGTTGGATGTCATCACAAAACCATATGCAGGTACAGAATGAGATCAACAAAGTAAATAAAAATAGCAAAATATATAAAAAAACTGAAAGGGTTCATTCTGGAGTGATTTTAAACACAGAAAAACAAACATTAGTCGAACACGCTGGACCCAAGCCGTTGGACGTCAAACCCGTTGGACGTCAAACCCGTTGGACGTCGAAGCCGTTGGATGAGCGCATTAACCCGTTGGAAGTCGAACACGCTCGACCCAAACCCGTTGGACGTCAAACCCGTCCCAGGAGCCCATTAACCCGTTGGGAGTTGAACACGCTGGACCCAACCCGTTGGACGTCAAACCCGTCCAAGGAGCGCATTAACCCGTTGGGAGTTGAACACGCTGGACCCAACCCGTTGGATGTCGAACCCGTCCAACCCGTTGGACGTCGAACCCGTTGGATGAGGAAGTCGAACACGCTGGACCCAACCCGTTGGACGTCAAACCCGTTGGACGTCAAACCCGTCCAGGAGCGCATTAACCCGTTGGGAGTTGAACACGCTGGACCCAAACCCGTTGGACGTCGAACCCGTTGGATGAGGAAGTCGAACACGCTGGACCCAACCCGTTGGACGTCGAAACCGTTGGATGAGGAAGTCGAACACGCTGGACCCAACCCGTTGGAAGTCAAACCCGTTGGACGTCAAACCCGTTGGACGTCAAACCCGTCCAAGGAGCCCATTAACCCGTTGGGAGTTGAACACGCTGGACCCAACCCGTTGGATGTCGAACCCGTCCAACCCGTTGGACGTCGAACCCGTTGGATGAGGAAGTCGAACACGCTGGACCCAACCCGTTGGACGTCAAACCCGTCCAGGAGCGCATTAACCCGTTGGGAGTTGAACACGCTGGACCCAAACCCGTTGGACGTCGAACCCGTTGGATGAGGAAGTCGAACACGCTGGACACAAACCCGTTGAACGTCAAACCCGTTGGACGTCAAACCCGTTGGACGTCAAACCCGTTGGACGTCAAACCCGTTGGACGTCAAACCGTCCCAGGAGCGCATTAACCCGTTGGGAGTTGAACACGCTGGACCCAAACCCGTTGGATGTCGAACCCGTCCCAGGAGCGCATTAGCCCATTGGACCCGAACCGGTTGGATGAACCCATCAACCCGTTGGACGTCGAACCCGTTGGATGAGGAAGTCGAACACGCTGGACCCAACCCGTTGGACGTCAAACCCGTCCCAGGAGCGCATTAACCCGTTGGGAGTTGAAGACGCTGGACCCAAACCCGTTGGACGTCAAACCCGTTGGACGTCAAACCCGTTGGATGTCGAACCCGTCCAAGGAGCGCATTAACCCATTGGACCCGAACCGGTTGGATGAACCCATCAACCCGTTGGACGTCGAACCCGTTGGATGAGGAAGTCGAACATGCTGGACCCACCCCGTTGGACGTCAAACCCGTCCCAGGAGCGCATTAACCCGTTGGGAGTTGAACACGCTGGACCCAAACCCGTTGGATGTCGAACCCGTCCAAGGAGCCCATTAACCCATTGGACCCGAACCGGTTGGATGAACCCATCAACCCGTTGGACGTCGAACCCGTTGGATGAGGAAGTCGAACACGCTGGACCCAACCCGTTGGACGACAAACCCGTCCCAGGAGCGCATTAACCCGTTGGACGTCGAACCCGTCCCAGGAGCGCATTAACCCGTTGGAAGTCGAACACGCTGGACCCAAACCCGTTGGATGTCGAACCCGTCCAAGGAGCGCATTAACCCATTGGACCCGAACCCGTTGGATGAACCCATCAACCCGTTGGACGTCGAACCGGTTGGATGAGGAAGTCGAACACGCTGGACCCAAACCCGTTGGACGTCAAACCCGTTGGACGTCAAACACGCTGGACCCAAACCCGTTGGACGTCGAACCCGTCCAAGGAGCGCATTAACCCATTGGACCCGAACCCGTTGGATGAACCCATCAACCCGTTGGACGTCGAACACGCTGGACGATTATATCAGAAGGTAGAGGGGGGGAAGATCGAGTCAGGGGCATAGAGGTCAAATGACATCACAGGTGAGAGGCAGATGTTGACGAGCACCACATAGAGATAAAAGATATATGCATATATAAAGATCGATGAAGCAAGAGGAAAAGGAGCAAAAAGAAAGAGGGTAAAGAGATATAATATAGCTAGATCAGGTTCAAAAATATTGGAGTTTTAAAGAGCATTATCCCATACAATAATGGGCCAGGGTTAGGGTTACAAAGAGTGAGAGTAGAGGCTGGGGGGCAGGATGAGGTGGTCAGAGTCAGGGTTAGAGTGAGGGGTGTTCAGGGAGGTCAAGGTCAGGGTAACGCATTGGAAGTTGAACGCATTGGACCCGAACCCGTCAGACCCAAAGCGGTTGGATGAACGCATTAACCCGTTGGATGTTTGAAGGCGTTGAACATCAAAGCAGTTGGAAGTCAAAGCGGTTGGACGAACGCGTTAACCCGTTGGACCCAAACCAGTGGGATGAAAGCATTTAAAAGTCAAACCCGTTGGACATGCCGGTTGAAGGTTATAGGGTTAGGGTTAAGCAGAATATGATGGAGAGGATCGTATATACCGGTTGGGGCACACCCGTTGAATATCGCATATAGGGGTTAGCATCACGGGAAATACGTCACGTCACGGAAACGGAAGCGGAAACGGAAGCGGAAACGGAAACGGAAACCCAAGGTTTTCAGGGTTAGGGTTAAACAGAATATGATAGAGAGGATCGTATATACCGGTTGGGGCACGCCCGTTGAATATCGCGTTGGATATAGGGGTTTGCGTCCGGGAAATACGTCGCGGAAGCGGAGGCGGAGGCGGAACCGGAAACGGAAACGGAAACACCAGGGTTTTAGGGTTGAAGGTTATAGGGTTAGGGTTAAACAGAATATGATGGAGAGGATCGTATATACCGGTGTGGGCACACCGGTTGAATATCGCGTTGGATTAGGGGTTTGCGTCCGGGAAATACGTCATGGAAGCGGAGGCGAAGGCGGAACCGGAAACGGAAACCCCAGGTTTACAACCCCAGCGTTAGGGTTAGGGTTAAACAGAATATGATGGAGAGGATCGTATATACCGGTTGGGGCACGCCGGTTGAATATCGTGTTGGATATAGGGGTTTGCGTCCGGGAAATACGTCACGGAAACGGAAGCGGAAACGGAAACGGAATCCCCAGGGTTTTAGGGTTGGGGTTAAACAGAATATGATGGAGAGGATCGTATATACCGGTTGGGGCACGCCCATTGAATATCGCGTTGGATTAGGGGTTTGCGTCAAGGGAAATACGTCACGGAAACGGAAACGGCAGTGGAAACGGAAACGGAAACCCCAGGTTTTCAGGGTTAGGGTTAAACAGAATATGATGGAGAGGATGGTATATACCGGTTGGGGCACACCCGTTGAATATCGCGTTGGATATAGAGGTCAGTGTCACGGGAAATACGTCACGGAAACGGAAACGGAAATGGAACCGGAACCGGAACCGGAACCGGAAGCGGAAGCGGAAACGGAAACCCCAGGTTTACAACCCCAGGGTTAGGGTTATGGATAAACAGAATATGATGGAGAGGATCGTATTTACCGGTTGGGGCACGCCCGTTGAATCTAGTACCACATTGACAGGCTAAGACCAACACCACAGATATAGAAATATCTACATATTTTAGTATGAGATGATAGAGCAGCCTCTGGGCATTAAACTGATATATTCCATATTCCCATAGCCCATGTAGTGGTGGAGATATTGTGGTTTAAACAATGGAGGGTTCTATGGGACGATAATACCGTATTAGGTTAGCGTATATTTTCTACAGCAGCGCTAGCCCGTTACAGTATTATCGTCCCAAAGTCCCGGTCAGCGCAAGGAGTGGTTAGATGTGGATGAAATCATGCATGCTGGCTCTCTACCAAACATATTCAATGCTATTTAAGTTGCAGGTCAGTGGAATAGAAATTACGTTGTCAATCAAGGATGCAATTCTCTAGGGTTATTGCTAGGGTTATTGCTAGGGTTAATGCTAGGGTTATTAGGGTTATTTCTAGGGTTATTATTAGGGTAGCTAGGTTTCTAACATCTTTTATCTCCTTATCTCTTTTAACTTCTCCAAAGGCTACAGTACCTTAAGCTTAATTAATAAGATGGCTATTGGTCAAGTAGCTTTGGAAGCAGTTATAAGCAAGATTAATTCTAAGTTCTATCTACTTCTATCGCAGGAGATCCCCAACGGTGCTCTATATATATATATTTATCCCGATCGTGGATTATGCCGTGTTGGAAACCTTGCCCCCTTTGGATATGTTGGATATATCTGGCGGCCTTAGTATATATCCTCTATATATCCCCCTAACCACCTCGGCCAAAAGACCAAACACTATGATACCGACCGGCATCATAGGCGCCCACACCTATATATATAGTTAAATCCCCGGGGCATGCCGGCGCATGGGCCGTGGCATGACAGAGGCTATGGAACGATGTGAGGGCATAACGATATATATATATATAAAGCTGTTGAACATAGGAGTGATTGATATAAGACTATTCACTGGCCCTGTGAAGATATGGGGTCCAGTGAGGTTATATACACTGCGTGGTTCTGGGTGCTGAGTTAGCCCTGTATCTTCATACCAGTGGGTCATAGAATGAACGTTGTTTTGTATTAAAACTAACTAGCCGAGCAACAACTAAATAAGATTGGGGAGTACGTGATCTAGGGTAGCCGTAGTATCCACCTACAATCGGTTCCAGAGACCCCCTTAATCTTGAACCTCTCTGCATGCCTTACTATATAGGCTCCAACACGTGTAGCTATATGAGGATTTGGGCCTCACACTGTTATATTCTACACTGCATAGTGCTAATCTAGATACCTCAAAGATTAAGAACAACTAGGTAGAGGGTGAGGAGAGCTTATCATCAAGTTGTTGATAGATCGAATCGCACAAGGTATAATACTATAGAATGAAATAGTAATAATCGGGTCAGATTTTCTATCACAGAGTATTAAATAAAATGAAGTACAGAACAGTATCATCACCATGGAGGCCAAGAGAATTAATTCTCCAACCGAAAGTGCAACAGGTTCAGCGTTTTAGTTGCTTTATAATGGCTGTGTATGTCTCCACTACCCTCTTCTCCTTGGGACCTAGATGGATCTTTTCGAAATTTGGTGGCAGGATCTTATTTGCTCTGAAAGTATACCATCAGCATCATATTAAGTGAGAAGGAAAGTAGAGAAGAGAAGCAGTTTATCATACATACTTTTCATAGCGCACCTTCATGTTTCGGATCTTGTCCTTCAGATCAACATTACTACGGTCCTGTAGAACTGCACCATCTGAATGTTCCTTATCCATCAGCTGCAGGATCCTCCATTTTGGCCCATACTCGACAAATAGCTGGAGAAGACGTCTCTCCTCCTCCTCAGACCACATGCGTCGGGGCGGCAGTGGGCTACCATCACGGCGAGTGGTGGCTGGCCTCCGCAGCTGGGTTGCCCTGGGGGGAAGAGATGGTGGAGGTGCTGGTGATGAGTGCAGCTGCTCTGAGGATAAGAGCGGGTCAACACTCTGCTGATGAGACGGCAAATCCAATGAATGTGAGGGTTCTGATGATGATGATGATGATGCTGACTGCATAGAGATATGGTGATCTTTATCCTTGAGGGGTAATGGCTGTTCTGGGGCGTGGTCATCTTCACTATAGAATGACTCGGAGTAGGGCTGGAATAATAATGAAGAAGAACCATCCTCATCATTTAAAGATCCAGTGGGATTGGAGAATGCCGTCTCCTGTATGGTCCCTGCCTATGGCCCTGCCTATGGCCCTGCCTATGTGAA